AGACAGGAAGAAACACTTCCCACATCCATTTATCTGTAGGGCCTGCCATTTCTGTCTCCAAAACATACCTCAAATCTGTCCTCTTCTCTCCACTTCTGTTGCCTCCACCTTAAACCAAAACCCTTTCCTTTCTCATTAGATTAATGCAATTCAGGCCCCAGCTGCCTAAAATCCAGAGGAGATGTATGCAGGCCGACGTAGTCTCCAAGTTTATTAGAAGTTCAAGATCAAGGTGCTGGCAGATCCTGGGCCTGGTGAGGGCCTGCATCCTGGTTTACAGATGGCCATCTTCCTGTATCTTCATGGCAGAGAGCAGAGAGAGGAAGCAAGCTCTCCCGTCTTTTCTTTTCTTTTTTTTTTTAAATTTATTTTTGGCTGCGTTGGGTCTTGGTTGGGCACGTTGGGCACGCGGGCTTTCTCTAGTTGCGGTGAGCGGGGGCTACTCCTTATTGCGGTGTGCGGGCTTCTCACTGTGGTGGCTTCTCTTGTTGCGGAGCACGGGCTCTAGGCGCGCGGGCTTCAGTAGTTGTGGCTCGTGGGCTCTAGAGCACAGGCTCAGTAGTTGTGGCGCACGGGCTTAGTTGCTCCGTGGCATGTGGGATCTTCCCGGACCAGGCTTGACCCCGTGTCCCCTGCATTCGCAGGCGGATTCTTAACCACTGCGCCACCAGAGAAGCCCTCCCGTGTTTTCTTGTTAGGGCTCTAATGCCGGTTACGCAGGCCCCACCCTCAGGATCTCGTTACCTCCCGGTAAGCTCCAGCTCCCAATACCAGCACATTGGGGGTTAGGATTTAACATATGCATTTTGGAGGAACACAAACATTCAGTCCTTAACACCCCCCAAGGCTGGCTTCGGGGCGCCACTTTGTGCTACCACAGGCACGCTCTTCTTGTCCCCTCCTTGCTGCAGTCCTGCATTATAATGGCCTGTCTCTTTATCTTCCCAGTTGTAAGCTCCTGGAGAATCAGGACTGTCTTGTTCATAGCTGTGTCCGCAGTACCAGCACATAACATGATAGAGAGTTGTCTGGTGATTAATAATGTGAGCACTGCATGTTACAGGGACCCTTGCTGCCTCTTTTTTGAACTTATTAATGGTTTGGAAAACATAAATTTCTCAATTTTGTAGATGTTATCAAGTAAGGAGGATGACAGAATCAAAACTGAAAAAGTCAAAGATCTAAAATGCCACAGGCTGAAACCAATAAGGTAAAGTTCTAGAGAGAAATGTAAAATTCTACAGGTAGGTTCATGTGCAGTGGTTCTCAAAGTGTAGCCCTGACCAATGTCAGGAAAATATAATTAAAAACAAAATGTCTGGTCAACCTAGAAAACCTCTTCACAAAGATAGAAGAGAAATAAGAGGGTTTTATTTTGAAAAAGCATTAAACCAGAACGTAATGTGAATCACAGAAAAGCCACTAAGGGGATAGATAGCAAAGACAAAAAGAAATGGCAACCATTTACATAACCAGGCAGATGAAACCAATTACCTCTACGTTTTCAAGATAAAGGGTAACTGATTCTCAAATAAGAGGATTAACTGCCTTCAAATAAGGGAAAAATAAATTTCTCATATCTTTATGACAGAAGGTAGGTTTGTTTTTGGAGACAGGTACCTGCTGAAGTTAGGCTCCTATACTCCCAGGAAATTGGGAGGAAGGGGTGTTATCTTCTTGACGGTTCCAGTTCTATGTGATGGCTCCGGGTCCCCTTTCAAAGAGAAATTCCTGGATTGTAAAATGGGAAAGAGGCTTATTTAGCCCTTAAAAAGATCTCCATATATTTCAAAAGGCAGAGAAAGAGCCCACAAGGGCAAGTTTTCTAAAGTAAATGCTCTCTTTTTCTTTGCACCAGGGAGAACGAAATATTTTTCTCATTTCTAATTTATTTTACCCTTACACCAACAGCATCAGGATCACCTAGGAACTTTAGTTAGAAATGCAAATTCTCATGTCCCAACCCAGACTCACTCAATCTGAAACTCTAGAGTTAGGGCCAGGCAATGTGTTTTTTAACAAATGTCTCAGGCAACGCTCATGCTCCCTAAAGCTTGAGAATCACTGTAGAGAACTGTTGACAGCAGGCCACTTGAAAAAGATTTAGGGAAGATGAAGGATTTCATTGAACTTGAATTAATAGTTATCTGCAGTTTTAATTACAGAGGTAGTCACTGCTCTGCTAATACATTACCTTCAATTAGTTAGCAAGAAATTAAGATGTCTGAAATAAAGATATTAGATGAACCTTGGTTTAGGGTAGACAGTCAAATCGTAACAACTTGCATAATAGAAATAAAAGCAAAAGCATTACAAAAAATTATGCTCATCTGGCTCTCAAGTGCATTCCTTAATTGAATATATGAGAGTTGCCTGATTTTCTGGAAAATCACAAAATGCCCAAATCAGGTAAAGCCATACAAGCCAAACTCAAGAGAAACTAGACAATTGTGCAATTTTTTTTGCATGAACCCCTTCTTAAGTTCACCTGGCTTTCTGCTGGGGGACAAAATCTGTCCTTTCTCAGTGCTTCTCATTCATCAGAAGACTAAAGAAAACAATGAACGACTCATCATCTGTTATGACCTTATTTCAGAGTTGGAATGATGTGGATGGAGGTCACTGACCAGTAAGTGACCTTCTCTCCCTCCTCCCGTCTCTCTGTGTAACCATAAGCAAGACTTGTATACTTTCTTTTTTCGTTTTTTCCTTTTGGTGGAGATCTAAGATACACTTAAAAAAAAAAAAAAGTTAGGGCTTCCCTAGTGGCGCAGTGGTTGAGAGTCTGCCTGCTGATGCAGGGGACATGGGTTCGTGCCCTGGTGCGGGAAGATCCGCAAAAAAAAAAAAAAGCTGTAGAAAATTAAGTATGAGATATCTTGACTTCTGAGTTATGCTCTATTTGACTTCTTCAATGTTGATGCTCTTTCATTAGTTTTTGTACCCTATCAAATATGTGCTCTTGTGAGGTTTACTGAAATTTTGGGCGGTGCTATATCCTGCAGGGTTTTTTTTTACTGTGGGAAAAACACTGCTCTGAAATTGACAGCCAATAGGACCAAGAATCAATTAATTTTGTTTGTACATATGTACCACAAAAGTATGGTTTATAAGAAGTCGTGTTGAGGGTCCCAGTCTCATAAACTCTTACAATGCTAACTGGCAATGATAAAATAATTGCTATAACCTGTCTTTTAAAAAAACTTTATTGTAGTTCATTTAGTTATTTATAGTTGCAAAATTAAAGTGTATTGACATGTGCACAAAATGAGCATTAATTGGGTGAAGAGCAGAAGGTTGTGGGGTGTTGTTTAGTGGTCAAGTAGTATTTTGGCTTATCCCCGCATGGCAAAATAGGTATATGAAGGACCTTTGTGTCTGAGTTTTTATGGCAAGAAGATAATTTTTTTAAAAATTCATTTTATTGTAGTTGATTTACAATGTTGTCAATGTCTGCTGTACAGCAAAGTGACTCAGATATACTACTTTTTCATACTATTTTCCATTATGGTGTATCACAGGATATTTAGTTCCCTGTGCTATACAGTAAGACCTTGTTGTTTATCCATCCTATATATACTAGTTTGCATCTAATCCCAAACTCCCAATCCTTTCCTCCCCGACCCCCCTCCCCCTTTGCAACCACAAGTCTGTTCTTCACTTCTGAGTCTGTTTCATAGATATGTTCATTTGTGTCATATTTTAGATTGCTATAACCTGTCTTTTAATCAAATCGTGCAAAAATATAATTAGAGGTTTTCAGTTCAGTCCTTAGGTATGTGAACTGTCCATCAAGGGGGCAGTGATGAGTTTTTCTTAGTATGAAGATGTGATTAGAATTCAAGCTATTTCAGTGAGACTATATTGACCACCAGAATGACAAAACCTATGGACATGTAAGGAAAGGCAGCTATAGATTTTGGTCCTGAGAAGATTTTAAGAACTACTTTGTTTGACATGAAGGCTCAGACCTTCCTTTTTCTTCCCCTTCTTTGACCCTAAGAGAATCACAGAATCCTGAACCAAATTTTAATGATCAAGTAATGCCTTTAATTACAAAAGAAAAACTGAGGCCAAAACTGTTTACAAAAAAGGAAGCAGCCAAGTCATTTAATACAGGGGAATAAAGGTGAGTGGATACAGCTCAAAAGAATGCACCATTCCCTGCCCCCCCTTCTTTTTGCTAGAAGTTGCACCCATCTTTAAAAACACCATCTTTGCCAGATTCAGGAGCAAACAAAGAAATTGCTCAAGTTGGGTTTTCTGTCTCCTTTGTAAGCTGCACATGTTTTTAACATGTATTTTAAAACTGTGATTTGAAAAGGCCATAAAACAAGAAGCAAATATGCCATTCTCTGCACATGAAAGCATTATTTTACCAGACATCAGAATATGCACTTAGAATTTTTTCTCACAGTTGTGTTCCTGTGGAGATATACATTTGGTCTTACTCATCTGTTTCTCCTGTAACCCCAAGTACAGTCCCCAACCTATGGTGCTGTAAGATATACATTTACATTTTAAAAGTAAATACGTTTTCCATATACTGTTCAGCGCCTAGACTTTTCTGATAAAAGGCACAGTCTCTGAGCCTGTTGTGGTTTCAGAACAGAAACGAAGCATGTGAAAAACAGGTTCCTGGGGCAGGAGTGTCAATATTTGTCTGCCAGCCACGCGAACCCTGGCAGCTGTCTCTGGACCTGAGGTCTCCAAATCGGTGTCCCTGGGCGTGTGACAAGCTCAGGCACTTCCCAGGCTGGCACAGATCGTCCAAGGCGGGCAGCAGCAGTTTTCAGAGACGGCAGGTGGCAGGGGCGCGATTCGGGGTGGTCCGTTCAAGTGCTAACAGGTCCCCCGCCAGTGGCCGCGTTGCTGGGCCGAGTGCAAAGGCAGCGGGGCTTCCTCGCAAGGGTCGGGCCCAGCAGGTGGGGACTGGAGAACTCTTCGTGAGTCACGGCCAAGCACGACCCGGTCCGTGGGACTCGCAGCCCTGCCGTTTCCTACCCGTTCCTGCCAAAGGCCCGCTTCAGCGCGTCCACGAAGCCCTCGTAATGCGCCAGGATGGGGCTCTCCCTCTCGATGTAGGGAACAACCCACTCCTCGGCCGGCCCACTGAGGCGGCTGATTAAAAACGCCACCTTGAGGGTGTCGTTCGAGAACCTGGCCTCAAAGAACCTCATGTAAGAGGCCGCTTGGATCAAAAATTCGGGAAGCCGGGCGGAATCGCCTTTGAACGTCTCGGGAAAATCCACCGGGCAGGCGGGCGGGCGCACCTGGGCCAGCAGGTTGGCTTTCTCGCACAGGACCCGCCGCACCTGGTCCATGAGCTCTTTGTTCTCCTTGCGCAGCGCACGGTTCTGGGTCAGGAGGTCCTGCATCATGATAGCCAGCGCGTCCATCACCGCCCGCCGGATTCCATCACCGCCCGCCGGATTCCGTCCCCGCCGCCGCGCCGCCGGAAGTGCGTGTCGCTCAGGGGCGGGTCCCGGGGGTCCCGGCGGCGGCGCGTCCGGCCTCCGCGGTCCAGGCCGGGCTTATGCCCGAGCGCCGGCAGGCAGCGTCGCCGGGACTACTGGCAGGAAAAGCAGCATCCGGCAGGCCTGAAGCAGACGGGCGGCGGCCACAGAGGAAATTTGGAGTAGACTGGGGGCCGAGCCGAGGGACGCAGCGCCGCGCTCGGCGGAGGAATCTGATGCCGTGGCTGCGCTCAGCAACTTCCGGTGGGCTCCGTCCGCGACTTCCTGTAGGCTTCGTATGCGACTTCCGGGAGGCTCAGTCCGCGGCCGGCGAGCAGGTGCTTAAAGGGGAAGCTGTCTGCTCAGGGGTGGCGCGTCACTGGGTAGCTGCGGCTTCGCCCGCCCCTCCCGAGCTGCGAAGCAGTCGCAGAGTTTTTTGAAGTTCCATATTCCTGGCTGTTCGCATGTTACGCTCAAGGCTTCACAGCCACGAGGAGGCAGTTCTAATGAAGCCCTCTGTGCCTGCAGAGTAGACCATCCCTTGGGGCTTCCAACTTGACGGAACAAGGAGCATCTCTCCTATCCGGAGTGCCTCCCAGGTGCCAGAAGCCTTATCCTATCTCATCTAAGTCTCCCGACTCTGTGAAGCCCATGCTGGGTTTCTAGTTTGTTTGTTTTTGTTTTCCTGAGGACACAAGCAGCTCAGAGAGTATACAAATTTATTCTGGCTGCAAAGTCGGTGGTACGTTGGTGAAGGCTTCCTGAGTGTCAGGTGATTGAGGATGAACTTAAACTTAAGGTGGCGGCAGGGTCTGTAGATTGGAAGGAGCCCTGTTGAGATGAACGCCATCTGTATTTATATGAATGAGAGGAACAGATTCCATCTGGTCCAATTCAGCCACCGTTTACTGGCGCTGGCTGTGAGCTCTGCTTCTTTACTGTAATTAGGTTCTGCTCTGACCTCCTTCCTATCTAACCAGTCTCCTATTTTTTCCATCAGTATGACGTGCTAGGTAAAGAAAACGTCAACCTTTGTGTGTGTGTGTGTCTGTGTGTCTCCAACCAGCGAGTCATTAAGCACGTTGTCTACCAAGAACCACTCTCAGGCTCTGGGACTTCAGCTATGTCCCACTGTTTCCATATTTGAGGCGCTCAAAGATTGACCCCGAGGATCCTCCCATGCCAGAACCACCCGAGGTGAAACTGTGGGGAGGAAATTTCAGGAGCGGGTATTGCTGTGTGGTTCAGTGACTAAGAAACCCAAATAACATATCTTGATGAGTAGTTACATTTATATTTAAGAATATAATTTTTGACTTTTTAGAAATGAGAAGTGATACTTTTTGCCAGAATCCTCCGTTTGTCATTTACATGGAGATGGTAGGTTTTGATTCTGGCTTTTGATCGCTGTACTTTTATTTGGTATTTTACTGTTGGAGACTAGTTTGTATTAATAAAATAATGTTTCCTAATAAAGCTGCAGGTCATAAATTGTGCTAAAACACTTTCAAAAACAAAGTACAAAAGTACTTGAGATCAGTTAATTAAAATATATGTACCTCAAGAAAGAAGAAAGTCAAATAACAAAAAAGTGGTTATCTTTGGGTGGTAAAATTTTTATTTTATATGTCTGCATTTTTGAAGTGACTTGATTTTACAATAAAATTTATTAAAAATGAAAGAAAACAGGAAATATAAAAGAAATGCTTTCTATTTTTAACACAGTTATCTAAAGGGAATTTTGGAAAGCACAGAGGATGAATGCCTAGCTTAACTGAGACTGCATTTCAGATCTCAGGCTTAATCTGAAAACATGTAGTATTCTTCTGTTCCTTTTTAGCTAGAAATTATTATTACTATTACTTTGCCAAGGAAAACGATAACGTCATCATATTCAGTTCATCTAAAAAAAGAAAGCCATTTACTGAGTCGGTATAACTTATGGAATTTCTCTGGAGCTACAGAGAGTATCAAAATGTCATTTAAAGTTTCAGAGCCAAAGTGAACTCTTAGTTTGTCCTCAATATAAGAAATACAAAATTTATGAACCCAAATACAAGACTGGGCAATCAGCTCAAAACACTGAGGATGTGCTGTCCACTAATAATACCGCATACATTCTTATGCACATATCATATGTTACAGTATACATTTAAAAAAACCCATGTTGCCAGATATATGATAGGTTATCTGGTCCAGAGCTTCTCTGTGCTGGGAGTTCTAGTTTTTTGTTGTTGTTTTTTAATCACTGATTTAATCTCTTTACTTGTTATATAGGTCTGTGCAGTTTTTCTATTCCTTCTTGAGTCAGTTTTGGTAATTTGTGTGTTTCTAGGACATTTTTCAATTTCATTTAATTTATTGGTGAACAATTATTCATAGCATTCTTTTATTTTTATTTGTGTAAAGTCGGTTGTAATGTCCCCATTTTCATTTCTGATTTTAGTTATTTGCATCTTCTTTTTTCTTTCTCAGTCTAGTTAAAGTTTGTCAATTTTGTTGATTTTTTCTAAGAACAGACATTTGGTTTCATTGATTCTCTATTTCACTTATTCTAGTCCTTATTATTTCCTTCCTTGTGCTAGCTTTGGGTTTAATTTGCTCTTCTTTTTCTAGTTCCTTAGAGTGTGTCTGGACCAAACTGGGTCCCCTCAAAATTCATATGTTGAAGCCCTGATCTTCAGTGTGACTGTATTTGAAAATAAGCATTTCAGGGAGGCAGTTAAGGTTAAATGAGGTCATAAGGGTGGTTCTGTTTCTCTGAAGAAACCTGACTAATTAATACATTCTTCTTTTAGTCATTTCTAATTCTTCTTTAATCAAGGGTATATTCATGGATATATTCTATAGAAAACTATCTTTCAAGTGTATACTACCAAAAAAAAATTCCTATGACAAATAAGAACCAGGACCATGAATTTTTTGTATGTGTGTGGTTCTGTGCATTCTCAAATGTTTTAAAAGGCTTAAGAGAAAATACATTGAATGATGGTACACACGTGCTTTGGACAGGGTTGTAGTGGAGGATGTTAAATTTATTAAATTTATTAAATTTGGGGCGGGGGGTGACTTTTGCCACTGTGGGACTTGCAAGTCCAAAACCTGTAGGGCAACCTGGCAGGCTGGAGATTCAGGGAAGAGTTGATGTTGCAGTTCTGAGTCTGAGATAAAAGCACAGGCAGAATTTTTGTGTTGTCGTCTGGAGACAGAAATCTTTCTTTGGGAAACTTCAGCGTTTGCTCATAAGGCCTTCAACTGATTGAATGAGGCCCACCTGTGTCATGGAGGGTAATCTCACTTTATTTTACTTTTTTTAAAGTGTTTTTAAAAAAATTTATTTTATCTATCTATTTTTGGCTGTGTTGGGTCTTCGTTGCTGCGTGCGGGCTTTCTCTAGTTGTGGCGAGCAGGGGCTACTCTTCGTTTTGGTGCGCGGTTTTCTCATTGTGGTGGCTTCTCTTGTTGCAGAGCATGGGCTCTAGGCACGCAGGCTTCAGTAGCTGTGGCACACAGGCTCAGTAGTTGTGGCTCGCGGGCTCTAGAGCACAGGCTCAGTAGTTGTGGCACAAGGGCTTAGTTGCTCCGCGGCATGTGGGATCTTTCTAGACCAGGGCTCGAGCCCGTGTCCCCTGCACTGTCAGGCACCAGTGTGCCACCAGGGAAGCCCTCTGCTCACTGTAAAGTCAGTGATTCTAAATGTCAATCACATCTAAAAAATACCTTCACAGCAACTTGAAAACCAGATGTTTGACCAAACAGTCACCATAATCTTGCCAGGTTGACACATAAAATCAGCTATGTAGAAATTTGATCATTTTAGAATAAAACTTGAAGACATTTGAAGAAATGGCCTAAACAAAAGTGAGCGTTTGTGAGAGAACTCATCTGAACGTTGTTTTTTATTTGACTCACAATTCTTGTAAAAAAGAAGTTAAATCAGGAATATTTCAATATAGTTACTTCCTTTAGGCAAGTAAATGCAGAACCATGTCCCTATCTGTGTGGGGTTAATCAGAATATATTTCAAACTGCTGAAAGCAATTATGACAAAGGACAGCGTGACTGTCTAATAAATGGTTGTTTTTGTTGTCCAGCATGTATCTTTATCACTTGTTCGCTCTCTTTGGGGGAATCATTTACAGTGACTCAAACTGAGTCAGGAAGTGAGATGTCCCCTGATGTCACACTAAAAAGACTTGTGAGACACATACTACAGGGGCTTGATGAATGGATAACCTGTGGAATTGAAATAGCATTTTAAATGGGTATAATTTTCTTGGCAGATATCCTTAGGAGATAGTCCTACTGCCTCCTGGAATGAATGGGCTTTGTTTTGACGTGGGCCCCATACTAAGGTAACAGTCTCTTTTGGTCATTTGTCAGTGTGTCTGGAACCCCAGCTATATTCACCAACTTTTATAGATTTGTTAGGGGAATCAATTGAGTAATGCATGTGAAAGCATTTTGGAAGCGATCAAAAATTAGAAAGCTGGGGCTTCCCTGGTGGCGCAGTGGTTGGGAGTCCGCCTGCCGATGCAGGGGGCACGGGTTCGTGCCCGGGTCTGGGGGGATCCCACATGCCGTGGAGCGGCTGGGCTCGTGAGCCATGGCCGCTGAGCCTGCGTGTCCGGAGCCTGTGCTCCGCAACGGGAGAGGCCACAGCAGTGAGAGGCCCGCGTACAGCAAAAAAAAAAAAAAAATTAGAAAGCTGATGATACAAGTAAGACAATGTTTTTACCAAAGCGATTATAAATGTCAGAGTATTTATCAGAGACCATTTGTTGGTTTCAAAGCTTTATACAATATTTAAATGAATTTTGGCATTTTTGGTGGGAGGGATGGTTTTATTGAATTTTTAGAGCTTTCCGTGTGGGAAGCAAAGCATTAAGGAATTCACTGAATTCAAGATATTAATAGCAGAGGCAATAATATGGCTTATATGA